TTGAATTCTGATGATACTATATTTCTTCCATAGTGACTGTATATCTCAGGATTACTTGTTTGAACTTACCTGAATTAACTTAAGCTCATTGTTGTTGTTGCTCATTGTTATAGTTCAAAAGGACTGTACGATTATCAGTTTTTTCTTATTTTATAGTTTTCACGGTGCTCAATGTCCAGAGAATGAGTCTTATGTGGTGAGGAAATAAATGGCTGCACCCGTTAGAGACTCTTCTGTCGTTCTTGATGCCAAGGGCTGCTACATGCACCTTTATTTGTATAAAATCAGGCAATGAATTATTTTGCATGTTTGATTTCAGTCTTGTGTTAATCCTAAAAGTGTTTTGTTTTTTGGGGGAGAATACTGGAGCTCTGGGCCCCAGACCAGTGTGGATTTGTTTGTTGACCTTTAGTCTTTTTAGTTTTTGTCCCCTTCTCTGTCTCTGTACACTTTTGTTTTTTTTTAATTTTTAATTGGTTGAACTGGGATTTAATAACCCCCGAGGTTAACTAACATGTAATCAGCATGCAGGGCTCTGTGGGGACTGGTGAGACACATAAACTGTTACTTAGTTTTCAGATCACTGACTGAACTCATTTTGTGACTCTGGTAAAGATGGTAATAAGCAGAAGGTAATAAGGAGAGATCTGCTAACCAGTGGCAAGCACCAGACGAATAACTGACCAGAATTTCACTCAACACAGCAAAAACTTCTTGGACACTCGGTGTGGCACAAGAAATCTTATTCTTTGTCATTTAAATACTCGAAAGGGACCATCGGCTCATACATGGTCAGGAAGTCGAGCTCAGTGACATCTCTTTAAACCTGTTAAGTGTATGGTTTTTACAAGGGAGGGGGGGGGGCATCCATGGAGGCCATAATGGCTCTTGTAGTGTGCTTAAAACGTGTATTTCTTTTTTTTCTTTCTTTTTTTTTTTCGCCTGTTCCATTTGGTTCTTTTGTCATCAGAATTATTGTCTAAAGGCAAAGAAAGATGTCCAACGGATTTACTTCACCCGTAAATGGGCCTCCATACCTTGGAGGGCTTGAGATGTCCCTAGAGAGGTGACGTCTGATACCCGACCTGACATATAGACACAAACAAACAGGGGCACGCACAGATACAAACAGCCATTCCCACCCTCATGCTCTCAAGTGCAATTACTCAGCACAAAACGTGTGTTTCTGCTGTAAAGTTGTACATTTTAACACTGGGTCTCTGTTGGGACCAGAGGAGTTGCGGCTTCAAGTATTTCAGCATTGGTTTCATTTTTCAGCCCTGCAGGTTTCTGCTTGTTCCAGACTAAAAGCTGTACACAGACTCGTGAACTTCCTGCTGTAGTTTGTCCCTATGTTACATATTTCCCTGTCTATCCCTTTTCCCCCCCCTTTTTTTTTTTGCTGCCTAGCCTGACCTGTCTCCCCAATGTAAGTTTTTATATTGTATGTATTGTCTGTATGGTCGACTAGGTCTGTCATTTCAGCTGCAGGCACCTGACAAATAAAGCTTATCCTTATCCTTAGTTGTAGGTTT